GAGTACTGCAGAACGCTCGGGCTGGGATAATTTACTAGGTGGGCACTCGAAGCTTCCTCCCTCAAGTTGCTTGTCTCATATCAATGTTATTTTAAAAGACGTGTTGATTAATTTAAATTGAAGAAAGGTTAGAGATTAGAATGTTGTAAAAGGATCGAACAGAAAGCAATTAAACCAAGCAACTAGAGTAGTCTTTACGCCATATTGGGTATTATAGAGTCCCCAGATCGGCTCTTTTCTAGTCTTCTCCATCTCCAAATTGTTGATGTAAGGCATGGCAATGGGGTTCACGCCTCCAGTGTGCGAGACGAGCGTCACTACGAACGAAACCATTTCTACAACCACTACAAAACCACGGAGACTCCCCTGTATGAACTGATCGAATATGTCGAGTTGTGTCTCGCTTCCTATTGAATTTTGCTGGGCAGTGAGAACATTGCCACCTCCTTTCGGCTTGATTGTCGTCAGAAGCTCCTACTTGTGCGCTATGCAAAATGGTTAGTACGAGGATACGACGGTGTTGAATAACGGTACCTTGATGGGTCTTGGGTCACTCTCTGAGGAACTGGGACGGTTCTTGGAGCTGTTTGATTAGGATATAATGGCACTTGTGGCTGAATAGTCTGAGAAGGCTGAGAGCTCTGAGACCAGTGGGCACTTTGCTGCGGATTCATGGCTGGATTGTATACCAAGGGATCACTTGGCATTTGATAACCAGCTGTGGTCTGCTGTTGCATTGCAGATGGATCAAAATGTTGGTACTGAGCATCCATTGGGACAGGGTACCCCTGCATGGCTTGGGGATATACGGGAGCAGAGGCTGGGTTGCTATAATCTTCAAATGTCCACTCTGGATAATGATTCCACTGTTGTTGCCCTTGTTGTTGCCAAGCTTGTCCATAAGGGTCTTGCCCAGTCGCCGGCGTGGGGTAAAGACTCTGCGGAGGTATATTACCATGACCATTGTCTTGACTGCTTCCGTAGGGATAGTTTGGCATTCTAGGATCCATGAGGGAGGTGAAGTAGATGAGGATAGCGAGATGCAATCTAGGGTTTCGTCCTTATAAAGTGCTCGTTACGGTCCTCTAGTCCCGAACGGCGGTGCCCAGCACCAGGTTCGCCGGACTCCTATTTGATTCAAGAGGTGCTTGTACGCCCTGTATAAAGGCTATATTTTGACAGGAAGCAGTCCCCAGCGTTCTTGCTTTCAAGCGCAGAAAGAGGAGCATAAAACTGAGCCTAGAAAAGAATTTGGTTTGGCGCTCA